AAGTAAGGCCCTTATTTTAACATGGCTTCGGGTAGGGAAGGTTTTTTTTTATTATTATTTTTTAAAAAAATATTATTTTTTCCAGTGGAAGCTTATTTTAATTTTATCTTAAAGGGAGACTATCAATATAATTGATACCCTAACATTGGTTGGGGATCCGAATAGAAATATTTTCATGTTATTTTACTGTCAGTTAAATTCTTTTTTAAATAATGTGAACACTCCCCTATAGTACTGAAATCTCAAACAGGGAGAGGGGTTAAACATGGAAGTCAGATATTGAAACTGCCAGGAAATGGATAATTAAATTGACCAGCCTAATTTCACTGTAGAATCTAAGTAAAGAACAAAAAAAAATTGAACAAACAACATAGACAGTGTAAAGTAAATTATGGACCAAATTCTCCTCTCATGTTCATTGGTGTAACTGTCAATGCAGCTAAATCAGTGCATGTGCAAGGACAATTTTTGTTGCATATATTTTTGCAGTTCGATTTAATGTGATGAAATAGTTATTGGGAAGGCTTTGAAAGTTGGATTTTGATAGGCATCCACATGTGTCACTAGATGGCGTTGCAAAACAGTTATGTTTAATGAAAATGTAACTTTTGATAACAAGTTACGGTTGTTATATATTATAATATGTCAATCTTTTGTCCACTCGTTCACTCAAACTGGTTTGAGTTCAAGCTTTCTACCTTTTTTTAAAAGCTTATTTAACTTAAGAATAAATGGACTTGAGAGCATTTTCTGTTGAATTTGATGGAAGAAGACATGGTAGAAACTCAGCCAAAGGATAGATGAACTAGAAAGGACTATTCACAAACTAAACAGAGTCAGCAGCTGAGAATCCTCCTATTTGTATTTGACGTTATAAATATTTGGCTGGAATGTGTGCTTGGAGAATAGATGAATTCTGGAACTGGAGGATTCTAGACACAAAAGGCCTGATATTCTTTTAGTCCAAGGCCACTCCATACTGCTCTGGCAGTGTGAAATGGCTTTAAGGTGGGTACCTTCATGTAAATGAGAATTGGGGCAATGACTCTGAGGCTGTATCCACACTTGGGTTTTATATTTCAGATTATGGCCGTGATTTGGCAAGGTATTCTGGCATGGGCCTAATTTATAGCACCTGATTAGTCCCATTGGTCCCAGTTGGGGGTTATGTTCATGCAGTTACACTCAAAGTGATTTTGTAAAAACAGATCCCATGTTTATCATGTCTCAATGACTCCAGATCAAAATGTGCTCATTTTAAAAGTTAAAAGCTGTCTTTCTAACTGCTAGCCCTGCAACATCACCCTGGGATCTGAGAGTCAAGCTGGTGTCCTTCCATCTCACACAGTACTAACAACAGAACTATAGACCCTGTAGGGCAGATTTGGCTCTACCTTATAACTACCAATTGTCTTCCGAGTCTGTCTGATGCTGTGATGCCTCATGGGAAACAATGAGGTTGGCAGATATAATGGTTTTTGGGGAGGAGGTACATTTCAAGATTGCATTAGTAGTTTAGTTAACAAATCCTGTCATGATGCATGAGTGAAAGTAGAATCCAGCTCCATCTCTTGGGGTTGTGCTAGCTCTGCGGGGCAACCAGGAGGAAAGAATAATGTATCTTAGTCATGACAATCAGCAGCTCTAACTCTGATTCTTACAGGGAGCAGATCTCTTGAGTAAGAAAGGGATCATATTTTACTTAGAGTAGAAACACACTTTCAACAGCGTGGGTCTCTCTATTTTCATTTATTCCTTCTAAGCTCTGTATGGAATGTATGTATCTGATACTTCAAGGAATGAAATAAGAGAATCATGGATGGAAAAGGCCTATTAGGTCATCTAGTTCACATCCCCCACTAACACAATATTCTCTAGTGCTTTTCCCTGTCCATTTTTAAATAATTCAGACAAAAGGAATTCCATCATTTCCCTTGGGATGCTACTGCACAGGTTTAACACATCGCACTTGTAATCCTTCTGCCAGGCCAAGTTGATAGCAGCAAGGACCAGGTTCAGTACACAGGGGTTCCCTCTCATCAAAGCAAATGAAAAACTGGCTCGAGCCCCCACCCAGTGACCTGGGAAAATCTTACACACCCCCTGGGCGCCTCAAAGAGGCAACACTTCCCCTCTCGCAAGCACAGAGTCTCGGTGTAGCAGAGAATCTTTAATAACATGAGGTAAACGACATCAGCATTAAATTGGGGAAACACCACAACTAGTGTTCATTAACCAAACCATGAGCAAAGACCCACCCCAACAAATTGGGCCACATCCTTTCCCTCGGGTTCTTGAGTCCCAGAACCCAAACGTCTCTTGAGTCCAGCAATCCACAAATCACCCAAAGTCCAAAAAGTCCAGCCCCAGAGTTCAAAAGTTCATCTGCAGCGTGTTACTCCCCAATCTGGCTAAAATGTTCCTGTGCGTGGGGAAAGAGGTAAGGGGCACCTTATGTAACCTGAAGCTGACTGCCCCACAGGGCTCCACTCTGCACAGCTCGCCTCGCCATCTCACGAACGCTCCGCCAGCCTATCCACAAACAGCACCACTGCACTCTAGATATTCTGGCTCCCCACTACTTGACACAGTGCTCAGTGATTTCAGCTCATAGTAGTGGGAGCCTTAGTGCTGGTGCACCATAAGGCCAAAGTGAATTCAGCACAGTACCTGTAGCAAGACTCTTAATACACCCAAAATTAGCTCTGACATTCCACAATGGAGAGAGACAGAGGTGCAATTGGTGTTTCAGGCCCTCACAAAGGGGCCCACACCACCAGGTACTAATACCTGTCTCAAGCCTCTCTCCATTCATAGAGTTTTGGAATCTATGTCCCTTGCCTAGCGAGTGCTACTTAGTTGATGATGAGTCCCTCCATCATAACAAAAGGCCAAGTACAGTTCTAAGCACAGTTCCTATAATCAGGGTAATAACAATTTATTCTTCGTGCCCCAATAACAGAGACACTGGGGATCCCACAACAGCCAAAGTGACCATTTGGGCAGTTATGGCCTCATTCTAGGCGGGGTGGATGTGCCTATGCAAATGAGATCGGCCCCTGAAGTTCTTTTCCACAACTTGCCACACCTCACCACCAGATGTCAGGGTGGAGCTCATCCTGACTCTGCTTACACACTACTAGGAAAGATCTCAGAATAGTCAGCCTAAGTTTACCTTTGTTCAGTCTGATCCCGTTACCCCTTAAAATTCCTCTAAAAATTCCTCTACCTCTTTGGCTTTGAGACTACATCTCCCTCTTAGTTGTCTTTTGCCCAAGCTAAACGTATTTAGTTCCTTTAATCTCTCCTCATAAATCAGTCCCCCAACTCCTTAATCATTTGTGTTCCTCTTCTCAAAATAAGTGAAGTCCATCCCTATAAATAGCTCAGGTTGGTCTTCCAACCTGCTGTTACTTTTTCCATTCCGATCAGTTCTTGTCATTTTATAGCCCATTCTCTGCTGTATATGATGATATGCAGATATTAGTCATACAGACGTTAGACATTTTTGGCCACTACTGTAGTGTTTGTACAGCACCAAGCACAATGAGCTCCTAGATCCCACCACAATACAATTCTTATTATTATATTAAGTAAAAAATCAACCTCCATTAAAAAAACCCAGATCCTTAATAAGTAACGTGAGGTTATATCAGAAATAGTGATGTACTTCCAGTGGCTGGATTTAGGGCAAGTGAAGACCAGATCAATAGACACTGAACTAGGAATAGGACTGAGGATATAATAGGACATGATATCAAGAACTGACAAGAAAGAACCAGATTCATGATATATAGACTCCAAGCCTCAAATAAGATCCATTAATGTGCATCCCTGCACCTGTGCAGCATCCCATTGATATCAGTGAGACTCTGTATGGCCATAGGTATCTGCACTAGAGATCCGAATTCAGGATCAGAGTGTAAGTTTGTTCCCCTTGTTAACATGTGATCTATGTTGTGTTTGTGTTTTCTGGATTAGGTTTTGATATTATTGAGAGGGAGAAGGAAATTGAGTATCAGGACTCCTAAATTATGTTCCCAACTCTGCTCCAGACTTGCGGCATGGCCTGAGACAAAGCCATTTGCCTGTGACTTAGTTTCCCTAGCTGTATAAAGGGTGTTGCATCTTTAGAACTTGTTTCGGAAGCTATTCAAAATAATGAAGAAAAACTGGTCACACTGTAAGGCTCCATTTATAAATGGTTGATAAAGGTTTGATAAACTATTAATAGCATATGCGTAAACGACGTTATAGATAGTTATAGGCCATGGTTGTAAGCAACCTTGGGAACTATTGGCCTCAAAAAACATGTATGAAAATTGAGTAACCATTTATTTTTCATCATTTATTAACCCTTTATAAACTATTTATAAATGGAATCTTCACATAAAGTGTGACTGAAAAATGTATATACCCTTTCAGAGAAAGAGGAAGGCTGGGTTTGTGGTTAAGGCACTAGACTATGCTATAGACCTAGCTCTGCCACAGACATCCTGTGTGATATTGGGCAAGTTGTTTAATTCTGCTATGTCTCAGTCCCGCATCTGTAAAAGGGGGCCGAGGGTATTTCATTTCTCCCACCCTTTGTCTGTCTTGTCTGTTTAGATTGTTAGTTCTTTGCAACAATGACTCTCTCTTGCTAGATGCATGAACAGCGCCTAGCACAATAGATGTAGCCTCTCAGTGCTATTGGAATATAAATAATAATAGAATAGAGAGTTTTGTAGATAATTTTTAAGGTTAATGACATACATTAACTAATGGATATGAAATTGTTAATCTGAAGTAGAAAGTCTTCAGTCTATTGCAATCTATTATGAACTGATTTACACTTTTAGCTAGAAGAACTGTGTTTTTAGAGAATGGCTCTTGAATTAAAACCATACTTGATAAAATATTTGATTTTATATGTACTCCTCCAAAACAAGTGGGAAAAATGTCATATTACAAATAAATGAAAATAAACTGTGTCCTCAGCATGGGAAGCGATCTCATACCTTCAGTATTTTCTTTAGCTTGATTCCAGTGGATCTGATCCTTAAGATGGTTAAAAGAAATATTTAAGATATTGTTTCCTTTTTTTGCCAGGTGTAGCTCATTTACCACAAATTAGGATGTGGAGAATGGAGTCACTGGAAAAGAAATTCAAGGAGGTTGGTATTTGGGCATTTGTTTTGGATCCTGCAAAGTTACAATGGATTAAGAGTTTTGGAAGGCGTATATATCCTCATGCTTCATTGTATAAACCAAACTGTAACTAATGGGGGTGTTTGCAAGGAACATTCCCTGTGTGCAGGTTATTCCATAACTGCCTCCTGTAGGGCTTTGTGACCCTTCCTCTGAGGGTATATCTACACTGCAATAAAAGACCCATAGCCTGGCCACAGCTGGCCTGGGTCAGCTGACTTGACCTTGCAGAGTTCAGGTTGAGGAGCTATAAAATTGCAACATAGATTGTTCAGGCTTGGACTGAAACCCTAGCTCTGAGACCCTGCAAGGTGGGAGGGTCTCGGAACCCAGGCTCCAGCTGGAGGCCAAATGTCTACACTGCTATTTTTAGCCCTGCACCCCAAGCCCTGCAAGCCCTAGTCAGCTGACGCAGACTTTGAGACTCAGTGTCAGGAGTTTTTTATCATAGTGTAGACGTGCCCTGAGCCATCTGATATTGGCCATTGTTAGAGATAGGATACCAAATGAGATGAACTACTAGTCTAATCCAATTCCGATGATGGCACACATATTGGGCCAAATTCACAAGTGATGCATCCAATGGGGTAAGCTGGACTTCCTTAGCTTAACAACGACCATTAGACACCCGCAAGACTTAACATGCCCAAATTCTGTCATTTTGCTCAATGATTATGCTCTCCCATATTCTCTGATACCGCAGTATAACTTCTTCTTTCTGGACAGAGGTCTGCAGTCCACACTCTTTCCTTAAATTTCCTATTTCATAGTTGGCTAAGTTGTACCTACCGAGGCTGGATTTGGACTCCTGTTGACTCCCTAAGTAAAGCAGCATTAACAGGTCTGGTATTTTGTGTGGTAAAAGTTCTATTGCTACTGGAAAAATCCCAGCTCACCTCCCCTTAGTGGATGAAAGCAGAATCTTACTATAATAGTGATGGTAAAAGTAACAGCATCCAGGCATGAAAACTTGGATCAATTATTTCACCTGGGATCTCTTACATAATATCTTAACTCTGTCTCTCTGTCTTACTTCTTTCTCTCTTTTTTTCTTCTTTCCCAATTATTTCACCTGGGATCTCTTACATAATATCTTAACTCTGTCTCTCTGTCTTACTTCTTTCTCTCTTTTTTTTCTTCTTTCCCCTTTTCTTTAATGTTTGGAAAAATATGGTCCCTCTACAGTGTTAATCTTAATTATATAATATTATGTATACACACAAGGTGAAAACCTGATCCCACTGAAGTCAATAGGAGTTTTGCCATTGACATCAATAGGGCCAGGGTTTCAATCTCTCTCTGTATGATTGATTTTCAACCATGAAGATAAGCAAGCAAAATCAATATTGGTAATATTCATCTTTAACATACATTTATTTGAAAAAAATCTGTATACAAAACTATGTAAAGTTTATATTGCTTATTGTTATAAGAATGAATTCTCAGTGAGATTTTTATCTTTGAGGAAGGAGTGTCTTGTGGTTAAGGCACAGGCTGAGGCCTCAGACGATTTGAGTTCAATTACCAGTCCTGCTACAGACTTCCTCTCACTGAAACACTGTGGGCCTCAGTTTGACCAAAAGAGCAATTTATTATCTGCATGTAATCCTATCTCCTACTCCCACTCCTCAGATTTGTAGATGATAACACTGGCTAAAGTTTCAAGCTTTAAATTGACAAGGGGACAGGGATTTTCTTAGTTCTCATTCAGCTTAGGAATCAATTCAGCAAAGCATGTATGTATATGCTTAACTGTAAGTCAAAGGCAGTTGCGTGCTTTGCTGAATCAGGACCCTAAAGGGTTTGAATGTTGTCCACGGACCAGTAGTGAATCTTGAGGCGAGCATGTGTGTGTAATATCTTTGTTTATAGTCATACTTTACATATTTCACCATCAAAGCCCTCTGTGAACATTATAATGAATTCCCAGACCAAAAAAAAATTACTAACATGTAATTAAAATGGAGGATGGGTAAATAGGGGAAGCACATTCAAAGAATGTTGTTGTTTGAAAAATTCAGACATTAGAAAGCCCAAACATTAGATGTTGAGGGAAAATTTAAAAAAGAATAATAGTTTGGGTACTATAGAAATTCACATATTAAAGTACCTCACCCTCTTAGATTGTGTCCCTCACGAATAGCTTGTCTTGAGGGGCAGGGAGAAGGATGTGTGATCCTCAGACCTGCTGGTTAGACACACTGGACTTAGACTCAGGAAATCAGGGTTCTGTTCTGAGCTCTGCCACTGGCTTGTTGGGTGACCTTGAGCAAGTCATATTACCTCTTTGTGCCTCAGTTTCCCCAGCGGTAAAATAGACTTTGTAAAGCCTTTGAGCTCTCCTGATCAAAAGCACTAGGAACTATTATTATCTCCACATGATCCCAAAGTATTTTCCATAGCTGATATGTACAGAAATAGCTTCAGCCATATCTGAGGGGTGGTGTGTGACAGCTGATTAACACCTCACATCAACACTACCCAGTCATAGCCAAACCAGCATATAGTGAAGACACTGGGGCTAATCCCCTCTATTCCTGTGAAAAATATCATGAGAGCTTTAAACAAGGGCTGGGGCCAACCTGATGTTTATTTTGAACCAAGTTTAAATAGAATAGGTCAGGCAGTTTGACTCAGATAATGTTGGGTTTGAGTTCTGTTTAAGAGAGACTGAAAAAGGAGCAGAGAGAGAAGAGCCAGTGGAAAAAAAACTGGGGGGAAAATAAACACAAAGAAGAAAGCAGGCACTGCATCTGGGGTACCTCCTCATGCCAGCCTTGCTTTGGAAGACTCTTCAGTCCCTAATACATAACACAGGCAGTCCTCTATCTTGAAAAACCCTTTTTTTGATCAACCAAACCACGCTTTTAAAAATCCCAAACCAACATGGATTTAAATTACAGGCCAAAGAAGGCTGACAAAGTGGAACTGTTGACACGAGGCCTGGTAACCCCAAAATAGCTTTCAGAGTTTGCTGAATCTCAAACCCTGTGGTATCAGCATCTTTAATGAGCTGTGGCTTACATCTCCAAGAAAAGATGGCACCTCCAGCAGCACTCCTGTAACCCTGGGATATATGGTGAGGCACAGAAATAGTAACCAAGATTATTGTGAGCAAGGGAGGAGCAACCATTTATGACTCAGTGGGCTAAATTTGTCTCTTATTTACCCTGGTGGAATTCCATTGAAATTACTCTCCCAGAGTAGCTGAGAGGAGATTTTGCCTGTTACATGAATGAGGTTTTTGTGTTGTGTTTATTTCACTTCCTAGTGTAATAATCCATGACTTCATACACTGAGACACCACAGTCGCCAGTGGTGACCAATCCCAGGAGTTTAGTACCAAGAATTCAAGCTCCTGCCATTTGAACTAAGAGGAATTGCTTCAGCTGTGTGCAGCTGCTGTTCCCTGGGCTGGAACTTTCAGTCTAAGTCCATTTTGTACTACAAAGTGGCTGGAGATACCCAGCAGAGAATTTCCTTTGTGTAAGAGAACTCTCTGCTAAGAGAAAGCTGGCATGGCATAGTCACTTCCTGCATCAGATACTGCCCCCTCCCCCCCCCCCCCCCCCCCCCGCAGAAGAAGGGGCGGAAGACAGCATGTTGGGGAAAGGGAAGGGCATGGCACTCCTTTGCAGCTCTGCACTGGGGCCATCAGTCAGCTGCAACTAACTCCTTCCACTGCACAAGCAGACGCACTTGAGAAATCTGGCTTGTTATTGTCACTGGGGTGAGCCACTTCAGGCAGACATGGTCACATTCACTCAGCCAGTGTATTACACTGCTTTAAAAAAAGATACCCAACCACATTTTATGGGTTTCAGAGGACATTTCTCCTCTGTAATATCTTGAGGGATGCAAACAATAGGACTTCTCAATGGGGCTGTACTTGGTGTAATTGAGATAATTTGGCCCTATATTCATATTTGGAGTATCCTAAATGGTAAGATGAGGGAGGGCCAGATTTTTTCCTGATTGAATTAATGTTATTTGTCAAGAGCTGTGTAAAGAGGAAAAAGCCATTTCTGGTGCACAACAACAACTTTTTTGGTCCCGCAAACTTAGGAACAAGACAATATTACATATTCATAAGTGGCCGTAAATGGTGATCTTTATATTCATTAACTGTCTACATGTACTCACATACACTCACATACAATAGATAATTCTGGCCGCACTAGTCAATATGGGGTAGAAATTATATCAGTGCTGGCCAGACTATGTTTTGATCTCCCTGGCTGATGACTCCATTCCAGATGTCAGCCAGACCCAGAACAAAAGATGTGTCCATGTGACAGCTTCACTCTCAAGAGGAAGTGTTGTAAACCTGACAGGGCGAGGTGCTGAGTTCAGGGACAGCACCAACACAGGCCAAAAAAAAATACCCAAACATTGAAAACTCATTGCATCCAAAATAAAGCCTGGAGCTTTTGGCTACAACATTGCCAAGATGTGGATTCTTTTTTTTTTTAAAAAAAGATGTCAGTATCAAACAGCTAGATCACACCATCAGTTTTTATGCTGATTTCCCTCACGGATTTCAGGGGAGAGTTTGACTTAAAAACTGAAGGCCCAGTACAGCCCATCATATTTATCAAAGATTCTTTTTTTTATTTTAAAAATCTGGTCAAACTAGCCATGCAATATTTTCTTTGTCATATCACTTGGAACCATGGTTTTTAATTCAGGCATTTAAAGTAAAGCATAGCAAGATTATTATTATTCTGCAACAGATCCGAACTCACCCTTTGTGGGGATGATCTGAATTTTTGGAACTTGACGACTATTGTACATGTTACAGATATGGGGTAATTGCATGCTGCCTTCCTAAAATTGCCCCCTGTAGTTCAAGTGGATAAAGCATTAATTTCCCTGAATCTTTGTGCAGAGTTGCTGTTCAACAAGAAAAATAACAAGGAGTCCTTGTGGCACCTTAGAGACTAAA